TTGGAGGTGGGGTCTCACTCTATCTCCCAGGCTGAAGTACAGTGGCATGTACTCCAGCCTGGAGTGACAGAGCGAGACTCTGACTCAAAAAAAATGATAATAATAATTTTTTTTTTTGTAGGGACGGGGATCTTGCTCTGTTGCCCTGGCCGCCCTCTCCTGGCCTTTAGCGACCATCCTGCCCTCGGCCTTCCAAAGTGTTGGGGTACAGGTGTGAACCACCACACCTAGCTCAGCTACATCTTGATTTTAGAGATGTTAAAATACAAAAACAAAAAGGTATTTAGAACTGGTGACATACCAGGCTTTAGTAAATACTAACTGTTGCCTAGTGAAACTTGGCTCTCATTGGCAATTTCCTCAAACAATATGTAACCTTTGAAGATTTAAACCCAGTCCTCAAAACCATTCTTTGAGCTTGCTTCTTAATTCATTATAGTTTGAGTTTTCATGAACACATTCCATATCCGAGTTTGCAGGAACCTTGGAGATTATCTAATGCAAATCTATGTGGAACTTAAATTCCCTCCACAACATCCCTGCTCCATGGCTACCTACGTAAGCTTTCATGCCAGATAGTATGAAATGTTTTGGAACTTAATTTTAGTTCATTGTCATTACCCAAGGTCAGACTGCTTACTTAGTGGGTTCAGGTACAATCTTTCTACAACCTAACTTGTGATGTCTTCTCAAAGAAACTAACCCAGAATCTTGGGACATGACCCTGTGTTCATCTGGGCCTGATTCTGACCAGTAGGGGGCAGTATTGTACCTTCATTGGTAACGGGCTCCTTAAATCCCTAAGATTGCTTTGGTTATAGAGGGATTAGAGTCCTTTTGGGTCAGGAAAAGGTGGGCCCAGCTACATGGCACAGTTGCATTCTCACCAACAGAATATGCTCTTTGAAACAAAGAGGGTAACTCAGTACTCCTGGTAAGCCAAATAATACTGCTGCCACAGCAGTACCGAAGTGATTCTTTCACTTGGGGAGAATGAGAGTAGAAATATGGGATATTTTACTTGTCCTTGGATAACTACTTCTGAGATCAGATGAGATTGGGCACATTCAGGGTGGTATGGCGGTAGACAGATAACTGCTTCCGAACAAACATCTTTTCAATGGGTTGGGAATGTCCCGTGGCTGCTATTTTCTGCCTTTGAGTGAAAGCCTTTACAGTTGATAACTGGCATTCCATGTCTGCTGCCTCTTATTGGAACAGTTTTCTTTTTTCCCCCCCTCCTGTTACAGGTTATGGGAGAAGATATCCCAGAAAAAATAAAAGATGAAGTTCACCCAGAGGTGAAGTGTGTTGGCTCCGTAGCCCTGACTGCCTTGGTGACTGCATCCTCAGAAGAATTTGAAGACAAGTGGTTCAGAAAGATCAAAGACCATTTCTGTCCATTTGAAAATCAGTTCCATACAGAGATACAAATCTTAGCTTAGTGGGTTATAAAAAGCAAAACCACAAACATCTTGTACTGTATTAGTTGTCCTTGTTTACTTCAGACAGGATCCATTGCTAATCATGGAGTATAAATGATTATTTATGTTTTATAAAACTGGCTTCTGTCTCAAATAATTTCTACTGCATTCAGTTTATGTTTTGTTTTCTTTTTGGATTTTTCCTATCCCATTATAAGTACTGTATCTTAGGCCTACTAGCCCTTTAGAAGGTAATCTGTTGGGGAAGTGTATCAAGGAGGCTTTTAGATTTGTGGTCTTTTAAAAACAGTTACTATATTATAGCCAGCACCATAAGAATCCACGTTGTTTAGGTAAATTCATTGGGGATGACCAAGAATGTTGAGATGTGAAACTAAGCTATTTCTAAGAAGGGTGTACCAAGCGCTGTGAAGGGTTGGAGATCTTACCCTGTGAAGCGTCTGAGATCTTACCCTACTTGTAAGCTAACAGGTTAGCCTCTCCCACTTTTCATGGATGCTGGCAGAAAGGAGACTCCTGGGTCAGAGACAAAGGATTTTATGACCCATGGCCCAGCAGGCAGTATAAACTTCAGTGTGTTTGCATCAGTTTCTCTTGCCTCCAAGTCCCAAGGGCACATAATGGGCACAGAAGGAATGCCTACGTTCACATACAATGAATGTGCATTACCATGTCTTGTGATGCACACATGACTGGTTGCCTTCAGGAGAGGAGTGCTGAGTTTGGGAAACTCTAATCTTTGGTAATGGGCAGTGAGCATGCTTGCCCTTTGCTCCAGAGGTAGACGCTGTCTCCTTTTTAAGGCTGTTCGCCCTGCAAACATCTTGGAGAAGATAGACTGGAACAATGAGCACTGAGTGCCTCTTTCACACGTCGCACAGAAACACGAGAGCTGTGGAGCTTTGTCTGCTAGGTTGATCATCCTGTCCTTTTTCAGCCACATGAATTTTAATCGCAGCCTGTAACATCATCTTAAATACAAAGGGCCATTACATTACTCAGTGAATTAGCTGGGATGGAAGAGCTCCCTGATGAGGAATTTAATAATCAATCAAAAACTTCAGCAAATGTTGTCCTGCACAGCTTTTTCTTTTGTTTTGTTTTTGAGACAGAGTCTTGCTCTTGCCCAGGCTGGAGTGCAGTGCCGTGATCT